AGAGAGGGATAATTTAATTTTTTTTTCTTTGTGTAATATATTCAGTTTGAATATTGTTTGATGCTATTTTATCCCATCAAAGTAGTATAAGAGCTCAGGCTATTTGATTTGTACCTTGTGTTTAATAATGGAAGCCAATACAAGTAGAATGATTAATTTGAATGGTTCAAATTACTGTGTAAAAAGAGAAGATGAAAAACTTGTTTTGTGTGAAAGATTATTATTTACATGTATTTGCCACTCAAAATAAAACAGATGTGGAATGGAATTTGTTTCATTGATAGGTATATGATTATATTAGACAGTGGATAGATGATAATGTTTTAAACCATGTTACTGAAGAGACACATGCACGCACTTTTTAGAACAAGCTTGAAGAGTTGTATGTTAAAAAAACTAGGAATAATAAATTGTTTTTAATTAAGCAATTGATGAGTTTGAAATATTAAGATGGAACTCCTATTGTATATCACTTGAATACATATCAAGATATTATTAATCAATTGACTAGCATGAATCTTAAATTTGAAGATTTATAAGGCTTATGGCCTCTTGGTACATTATTGGACTTGTGAGAGAGGTTTATAATAATGTTATCTAACTCAGCCCCAAATGGTATTATCACTATAGATTTGACTAAGAGTGGTGTTTTGAATGAAAAGACAAGAAGAAAATCACAGGGTTCCTCTTCACAATCTAAGTTTTTAGTAAAAAAAATAAAGGGAAAAGTAAAAGCAAAAGTATGAAGAACAAACACAGAAGTAGGAGTAAGTCCAATGGATTTGTCAATGTTGAATGTCATTATTGTGGTCTAAAAGGGCATATAAGAAAATATTGCTAAAAGTTGAAAAGAGACAACGGTAGTGACAAGGATAAGGAAAAGAAAAATAATGATGGTAATAATGCTGAAAAAGTTGCTATAATCACAGATGACTTTCTTATTTTATATGATGATAATATTGTTAATCTTCCACACCATTAAACTAGTTGGGTGATTGATAGTGGTGCCATAATTCATGCTACATCTAGGAAAGACTACTTTGAATCTTACACAACTAGTGATTTTAGAAGTGTTAGAATGAGTAATAATGGCCTAACTAAAGCCACTGGTATGAGAGATGTGTTCTTAAAGACCAATAATGGCTCTATATTGGTCTTGAAAAATGTTAAACATATTCCCAACATTCATATAAAATTGATTTCTGCAAGGAAGCTTGATGATGAAAGGTTTTACAACACCTTTTTTCGTAGTCAATGGAAGCTCACTAAAGGTTCTATGGTTGTAGCTAGGGGTCTGAAGTGCTTTTCATTGCATTTGATGCAACTTAAGATATCTGATTCCATTATCAATACTGTAGATAATGATGACATAACTGAGTTTGGGCACAATCGACTTAGTCACATAAGCGAGAAAGGTTTAAAGGTTTTGGCCAAGAAAATCTTATTTCTGGAGTGAAGAATGTATCTTTGAAAAAATGTTCTCATTGCTTAGCAGGGAAACAAATTAGAGTTGCATTCAAGACATCCTCTCTATCAAAAAAGCCAAGTATACTTAATTTAGTATATTTTGATGTTTGTGGTCCTATAAGAACAAAAACACTTAGTGGTTTCATTTATGTTATGACTTTTATATATGATCATTCAAGGAAAATATGGGCTTATAGCTTGAAATCGAAAGAGTAACTATTAGATGTGTTTAAACAATTTCATACTTTAGTTGAAAAACAAATAAGGTTGCAATTAAAATACATAAGGACTAATAATGGTGGTGAGTACACTAAAACTTTTGATGAGTATTGTAGATAGCAGGTATTAGACATTAAAGTCACCTCCTAAAACTCTTTAGTTAAATGGGTTAACTAAAAGAATAAACAGGATACTAGCGGAAAGAATGAGATATTTGCTTTCACAAGCATAGTTATCAAAAAATTTTTTAGATGAGGCTTTGAGTACAGTTGTACATGTTTTAAATCTCTCACCTTGTGTTCCTTTAGATTTTTATGTTCCAAATAGAATTTAGTCAAGCAAAGATGGTCCTATGATCACTTGCACACTTTTAGATGCAAGGCTATTAAACATATTTCCAAAGATGAAAAATCCAAACTTGATGTCAAGACTAGATAGTGTGTGTTCCTTGGTTATGGCCAAGATGAGTTTGGCTACAAGTTTTACAATCTAATGCAAAAAAAACTTGTAAGAAATAGGGATGTTATTTTTGTTAAAGATCAGACCATATAAGATATTCAAAAAACTGATACATGAATTTCATGATGTGGTGGTGGTTTGATTGACTTGGATCTAGTTCTTTTAGCACATGTGCCTACAAATGTTGAAGATGTTCCGGATAACCAACATAATACAAGTGATGTTGATACAAATCCTACACAGGTTGAGGTAGGTGATGATATCCATGAATAGTCACCAATATCAGAGGTTCTACCATAGGTTTTACCAGAAGTTTCACTCAAGAGATCTACTAGAGATTGACAACCTTTCACACAATATTCTATTGATAAGTATGTGTTTCTAACTGATGGGGGAGAACCCAAATTCTATGTATAGGCCATGAAAAATGAACACAAGAAAGAGTGGGTTAATGCCATACAAGATGAGATGAAGTCTTTATATGAGAATAATACTTTTGAGTTGGTAAAGCTACCAAGGGAAAAACTTTAAGTTTGTCATTTGATCATCAAATTTGTGATTCCCTCTACATAGTTAGAAAGGGAGAGATTTGTTGGGTTTGGTTTCTTCCATGCAGAGGTAGCCTAAAACTAAAGCCCATTCACCAAGGATTTTCTAGTCCTTTCATGCTTGGTTATAGCATTTTAAACCCTTATATATTATTTATATGGCTGAAAAAGAAACACGAGTGGTATGGCGGCAAAATAAAGTAAAAAGGGAGAAAAAAGGAGTTTTGTGCAGTTCCAATCAAATAGTTTGATCGAAGTCAATTTGTTGTTTGATTGATTTGAAACTTTATTAATGTGTTCATAACTCATTGTTCTTTAGTTTGAACGGTGAAAATTGGATTTTGAGTTTTCTACCTATTGATTTTGTGGGTGTTTGTTAATCTCTAAATTTATTAAAACTTCTCCAATTTTCTCTTACAAGATTGTTTCTTTACCAAAATTGTTTAATCTTGAGATATTGTGGTTGTATACCTCTAGTTTTAGTTAAAGAGAACTTTGTATTCCTATTATTTTGATAGTGAAAATTATTTGTTGTTGTGCATGATTTTTACTACTAGTTTGGGGAGTTTTTTCATGTAAATTGCTTGTGTTCTCAATCTTGTGATTTAGAAATTTATTTGTTAACTCTATTTGTTTGATTCCTACTAGATTCACACAAGAGGTAATTTAATTTTTTTTCTTTGTATGACATATTTGGTTTGAATATTATTTGAGGTTATTTTATTCCATTATAGTGGGGTATACTTTAGGCTATACCGGCGACTCTGAAGCTTCTGTTTCAATCATGGAGTCATCTTGCAGGAAAAAGAATTGACATGCAGATCCAGAGAACCTTGTTCTATGCTGTCATCTGGTCAGTAAAATGGCTTGCACGTAACGAAAGGGTTTTCAACAGAAAAAGTCCTCTCGATCAATAAGTTGTTTAATTTGATATGTATTAGGCTCGGATGGTGGTTAAAAGCTAAATTTCCTGAGTCATTCTGCACTTGTATTGATGTAGTATCAAACATAAAAAATTTAACAATTTCACGTCAGAGGAAACCAATCAAGAAGCATATCAAATGGACCCTTCCTCCTGAAGGTGTGTGGAAGGTATACGCAGATGGCTCTGTAATCGGTAAACCAAGCCCTGCAGGTATTGGAGGGATTGTTCGTGATCATAAAGGACAGGTACTAATGCTTTTCCCCAAACGCATAGGAATTAAAGACTCTAATCTAGTGGAATCGTTAGCTGTTCTTGAAGCCCTTTCCATCATTGTTGGCGCTAACATTGATCCTCTCCCGAAAATTATTGTCGAAAGTGACTCGTTGGTGGTTATTTCTTGGTTGAATTCAGTTACCGAAAGCCCTTGGAAGTATAATGTTGTTTTAAATGTAATCTTTATGCTCACGTGAAGAAAATTTCGCTTTTTCATGTGTTTAGGGAAGCAAATTTCTTTGCTGACTCCCTTGCTAAACTGAAAGTCTACAGAAGTTCAGATCTTACAGCATGGCTTTAGCCTTTTAGCTTTATTATTAAAAAATCGTCTTTAACTTAAAAGAAAAAAAAATGTTTATTCTAATTAAAAAATAAACCATGGAGATTGGATAGGACATAGACCAGTTGAGGACGTTAAGATACCTAAAAACCTATCACAGTATCAAGTGTTAGCACGAAAGCAGAGTGATTGGAAAATATCTACTGGTATTCCTATGATAATTTGTATATCAATATTTATTTATTTTGTGTTAAGTCGTAAAACACAAAAACTTTCATTTTATAATTGATTTATCAATACAAAATTTTTTTTTTTACATAAAATTTTTATTAAAATTTTAAATCATATTTTTTTTATATATTTTTATATCGTATTATTTTATTGTATTTAAAATTAATTGATTTATACTAATAATCCTTCCAACAGCCAAATTACACACCATGGTCAGTAGTTTGAAAGAAATTATGGTTACTTGCCGAACTGTATAAGATAAGATTGCTCGAGTTAAATTAATTAGAATCTAATTTAATCTTTATCCAAATATCTGAGAGAAAACCATGCAAACAAGAAATATTCAAAATCGGGAAAATTCATAACTTTTGTTTGTTTGTTTTGTTTTTGTATTAAAAAAAAAAAAAAACTGGTTGCTTCATTGCTTGGGTGATATATAAAGCATGGATTGGGACATAAATAACAATTTTTAAGGATGATTATATGAATCAATTTAGATTCAGGTTTGTATTAGTATTAATTATATAACTTACATAACTTTGGAAAATATTGCCTGAAAGCAATGATATCCCAAATAGCAAAAACCCAATTTCACAGATCAAGAAGGCATTTGAAATTGACAAAGTGGACAAAGATTGCTCTTCTCCAACCAGTTGACGATGCAATCTTGATGATACACATGGGAGCAAGGCATTCGACTAGCTTTCGACCCATCCAAAATCTCTTCTAAACAAATTACACACTGCCTTGTAAAATTACCTTCAAATTTAACCTTCTCCAATGCCTCAATAGCTCCTTTGCTTGCACCCATCAGCCTGAAGACCTGCAAATCCAAGGAATCTGCAAAAGCTTCATACTCATCAGAAAGTACTGCTTCCTCCTCTGATAGTCTTACAGGACAAAGAGTCACAACAATAGGAATGTTGTTGCGGTTCTTGTTATGTGTTTCTTTCAATGCCGATCGTGCACATTCAATGACCCTTTGCGTCACCGTTGCATGAAGGCTAAAGGGTTCATGCATCTGCTAAAGCTTGCTAGATATAGCCGACCAGGATGTGCTGACCTTTGTCAACTGACCCTGTGGCACCAAAAGCTTCTGCACAACGGTTGGTTCGTAAGAAACAATGTTAGCAAAGATTCCAATAGAAAACACAGGGCAGTATGAGGAATCTTCCACTTGCATCAGGTCATCATCATGTTCACCATCTACAACCTCAATCTGTCATGCCTCGCATTGATAGTGAGACATTGTCCTTAGTAGAAAAAATTGATGAAAAGATATAGAAGATTAAAAAAAACAAAAAAAAAAATGAGGAGGAGACAAGAATCCAAAGAAAACCCTGATTAAAAAAAAAAAAAGTTATATGTTGGGTGCCTGACTTGATGCCTTATTTATTGAAGCTTAGAAGAGTCGGTGTATATATCTTTAATGGATCTTGATTTCTAAGATTTGCAATTCAACCAATATAGGAAAGGAGTGAATGGTTTTAATGATTTTGATCTTGATTTGAATTTCTTGTTGGTTGCTCATTATTTATGGGTGCTCAGCAAGGTAGATATATAGTAACAAATTCCACAACAAACATTAGGAAATACGTAACCTGGAAGCTAAAAAATATAAACTGTTTTTTGGACACAACACTATAACATGATATGAAAAAACATAAATAATATGATTTTAAAATATCGATTTAACAAAAACTATATATATATATATATTTCTTATTTGAAATGTTAACACAAATTGTAATAAGATCATTTTTATATTTTAAACATGTTTGATAAAAAAAAAAAAAAACCACATCACAATCACACAGTATCATATTTACAATTAACTTCAATAGGACAGTTTGAGGATATAATTCACATGTTATTTTATTGATTAAGGATTGAAGGATAGGACAATAATTCCTAATATTAGTTGGAATTAGAAAGGTGTTATAAAGGAGGAGACATTGTTTTTTTGTTTTAAATGCTCCTTTGAATCCAACACAAAGATTTTCTATGTTCTTTGAAATTCAACCCCATTATTCTATGTTTTAAATAAGCTGGATTTTTCCATTTAATTAATTAGACTTTTTCTAACAACCAAATTAAACAAAATTTGTCCATAATTAGCACATGTTAAAATTATTTAAAAAAGGCCAAATACCAAAAAAAAAAAAATTTTAATTGATGACCAACCGAAATTATCAGAGCCAAATAAACAAAAAACTTTTGAAAAAAAATGGTTTATCCAAATTTTATCATATTATTTTCAAAAAGAAATACTATACATGTGCATAAAGTATTTTTGGTTTTCAAATTTCTAAATACATTATGTAAATGGATTTTCAATATATTCATTATTAACATTCACATGTGTAAATTTTACTCAATTTGATGAAGACAAATATGAATGATGAACAAAGGTATAATAAAAAGTAATTGAGAAAAAAGGAACCAAAAAGAGTTATTTCCATTGGTGATCTATATGAAAGAAATGTAACCAAAACCATTAATTTGTCAAAAATATTAGTTTGTGATAGACACGCCAACATTTCAGAAAAACGAACCCATTCAAGGCTTGGACTACTTGCTGCCCAAAGCTTGCCTTAGTAGACAGCAAGAAAAAGAGCCATCCTGTTGCAAAATTTTCTATCATTCAACACGTACACAAATGTTTGGTTCACATGTACTACAAACTGGTTGCATTTTGATGAATGCACAGAAAATGTTAAGAGCAGCACATGGTAAACCCCTAAGTTAAATAAGCAGAGTGGGTTGTAGCAGTTGTCTTCTTAAAATCAATTTTGTCGACTTTAACTTCTCCATCAATGAGTTCATAGACATAGACCACGACACATAGCCCATCAATATCCATGAGGACAAAGCTAGGGTTGACATCATAAGCGATGTTGCTAAATGCACCAGTAGCAGATCCAGGGTTTATAACAACTCCTCCTTCATGTTTGTAAGCAGTAAACTGGTGTGTGTGACCTGTCACAAGTATGTCCACATCCAGCTGCCTCTGTAACATGGCTAAGGAATCTAGGTCACCCCAGGGGATAACCTTGACGTATCAAGTCACATTAAGACAGATTAGCATTGGCTGAAATGTGCTGATCAAATCCTTGGCATGGATTCACATATCATTTGCAGCAGCCAGAGATGCATGCTTCATCATAATCCACATCTCTAGTAACTAATTACTGATTTAAAATGCATGAAAAAAATTTAAAAGCCCTTCAAGATATTCTCGCCAAGAATTTCTTCTGTCCATACTCCATACACCGGAAAGAAAAAAAAAAATGATGAAAGGGACAGAAGAAACCATACCTGATGACCATTGCACAATCCCAACTTGAATTGTCCAACAGTGAGTGTTTTGGTCTCAGGATATCTTCTTTCTTCATCATCTTCACCTCTGGTAATATGCAAGTCCGGACAAAGAGTCTTCAAGTAATCTTGAACTTCCTGAAGTTATAGTCAGAATTTGCTGAGACAGTTGTAATTTAATAAGATAAATGGAAATCATAAAAAGTCAATTGTTAAAAATTTACCATGGGGCAGTTTCCTTAAACAGTCAATTGTTAGAAATTTAAGGGGTAGTCCCCCCCCCCCCCCCCCAAAAAAAAAAAAGAAAGTAGAAAAATGTCGAACTCAGAAGTTATATTACACCTTTTTCTTTCTCTAATTTCCAATTTGGATTATGAAGCTAACAAAACAATTCATTCAAACACTTCATGGACCATGCAAATTACAGGAAGACAGCTAAAACATAAGTTATAAACTTTCTACAGCTAAGTTTAAACTGAGTATCTACAATCTACTTCAAACCTACTTTAACCCTTAACTAGTTAAGAAAAGGCATCAGAGAGAAAAAAAAAAATTCAAGAACTACTTCTACGCATTTCAGACCAAACATGACAAGAGAACAGAAATGTTATTCTTAGGAAGGAGGGGGAAATCTAGGGGACAAGGCAGGGGCTATGACCCCCAAAAAAATTTTTGATAATATTATATTATAAAACTCAGTCCACTTAATATAAAACTCGGCCCCCCTTCCCAACTTGGTTCACTATTCTGCCCCCCCCCCCCCCCCCCCTTATTATTTTGCTGGCTTCGCCCTCGTTAGCAGGTGACAAGGTTAGGTAACAAATGGTAAAAACTACATGAGGGGGGCAGTACTGGATATTTGGATAAAAATTACAATAATCAAATGAAACAGTTGTTGATAATCATTTAAACTACCAACTGTGGGATATGGTATCTTCAGCTGCTTTTCTGAAATTCAATCTAGAAACATGAAAAAAAAAAAAATCCTGTGTATAATGTTGGAAGCATAAAGCAGCAAATAGCATACGTCCCATATTTGCAGCTCAAAAAAAAAAAAAAAAGGGCAAAGACATGAAATCCAGATTTAGGCATAGATTTAGCATTCCCAGACAAGGAATGGAATAAACCATAACTATCACTAGGAAAAGCTTCCCTCCATTTGGTTCATGAGACTAAATTACAATGCACTAAAACTTGATCCATAAGAGCTATTAATGATTCAGTTTCAAGCAAAAAAAAAGAAAAGAAAAAGAGAAAGAAATTGAACAAAGTCAATTGCTTCAATTAGGCTCAGCTGAGAAGCATAAAAACAAAAGTGCTAAAGCAGTGGGCCCAAATAAAACCAGATTTCAGTCACAAAATCACCCAAAAAGAAAAACCCAGATAGGAAAAGAAAGATGGGATACATTGATGCAAAGATTGCCAGTGCAAATGATGTATTGGATCTTGCCAGGAACCAGCATGGACTTGAATTTGGAGGGAGATCAGCTGCCCGATGGGGTATATGCAAATCCCCCAGAGCCAACACCAGCACCATCTTCTAATATCTTCCAACACTACACAATTAAAATAGAACTTTCAGAAAACAAAAGTAACCCAACAACGAAACATGAACATGAAAAAAAGGGAAATGGTATGAGTTTTTTTTATTACCAGGGAAGGATTTGGATTGAATCTTTGGGAGGAAGCGCAGAAATGCACATCGGAAAAGAGAAGTCTCTTTACTTTATTTTACTCTTTCGTCTTCCTTTCCCTCGTCCAATTGAATCTTACTTGCATTCGTTGACCATTTGTTTCTCAAACCGTTGGTTGGCGTGCGGCCATTCCAGTTTTCTTCTATTGACATTTGCTGGGAAGAGTTCTAAACGACCCCGTTTTTTACAAGTTGGAACTTAGAATTCTCTTTTTCTTTTTCTTTTTTTTGAGGGGGGGAGGTCCATACTGCGGATGACATGTAAAGTCCTGACATGTCAATTTGTATATTTATTTTGTTTATTTTATGCAATATATACATAAAATATAAAAACTATCACATTATAATTTATATTGATATACTAAATTCAAAATATATTGTTAATTTTTATTAAATTAAAATAATTTTATTAAAATTTTAAATCATATTATTTTTATATTTTCTTATCCTTTTATGTAAGATTTAAAATTAGCACGGATATTTCCTTTAAAAAAATTAGCATATATAAGTTACAGTACAGTAACAAAAAAAATCAGTTATGGTAAATTTACGTTGGTAAAAAAAACATTGGGAGATTTGGAACTCATTTTGTTGGAATTAAGAGCTCTTTGAAGCCAGCCTCCTCTAAGGAATGCTGCTGAACACATGCATATGCACATATTTTCACTCCTTTAAAGCATATGATAAAAGTTTTGGAAATTCACCCCCCCCCCCCCACCCCCAAGCCAATCCCAGGCCAAATAATCAGTTTATCTTATGAAAGAAAAAAAGACTAAAATTTCCCATGCCAGAAAAAACACACTTCCAATTATTCCATACGCAGATTAGATAAACTAAAATCAATTCCATAAAAGCATTTTTTAGCAGGTATCGAACAACGTTAACATGCCGATAATCATCCAGTGAAAACTTCAGCTTATGGTGATGGCAAAATTTTTTGGTATACGTTCTGTACAATCCAAAGATTCCTGTCTCTATAGGGCTTTGCTTAAAACCACGAAGTTTGCCGCAAGATATACTACCTCTAGTTTCTTTTTTTACATCAACAAACTACCATCCAAAGAGAGAAGAAAGGAGAAAGCGGATTATACAGTGAGAAGATGAAAGGAAAACTGGAGCAGGCTCATCATCCCTTTGGAGATTCCTCATGGCAAGGGGATTTCATTCCAGATGGTGGTGATTTCACATGGTGAGGGGTTCTCGTTTCAGATGACGGTTGTTCCTGAGGGGATTTCACATGGAGGGGAGATATCATTTCGAATTGCCGCTGTTCCTGTGAGGGTTTAACACTGCCAGGAGCTTTCATTTCAAATGACTTTCGTCCCCGTGGGGATTTCGCATGCCTCGGATATTTCATTTCAAACGACAGTAATGAGCCTCTGTGTGGCATATTAGCAGGTGAGGTAGGGTAACTTTTTCTGAATGGAGACTTTGGTATAGGACTAGCTACTGCTTGTGCCTGTGAGTGGGAAGAACAACGAACGTCTCTTGGGGAAGCAAGGGAAGGGAAGGTAGGAAGCTGTTCTAGGGCAGATAAAACCTCAGTCATTCGTGGTCGGCTCTTGGCTTCACTGATACACTGTAATGCAAGTAGGGCAATAGTATAAGCTGCTCTCTGGGGGTATTGACCCTCTAACTTGGTATCCATAATTCGGAATAACTTGCGCCTATCACCCAAAAAGGGTCTTGCCCACTCCACTAGATTCTCTTCTACACCAATTTTTGTTTCATCAACAGCACGGCGTCCTGAAAGCAGTTCCACTAACACAACCCCAAAGCTATACACATCACACCTTGCAGTTAGCCGACCTGCATAAGATTGAAAGACTAATTCATGCAAATACAATAGTTCGCGGGTTGTCTTAAAGGTGCAACATCCAAAGGAGATGAAATCGAGTTATTTGGTTATAAACTCAAACAATAAGACTTCTTTTTAAGGCAGTAAAAATTTCACTTGCAAGAAACTCTAGCAATCAGTTGAAGTCACAATCTCATAGAAAGGAGTCCATGCTAAATTATTAAATATGAATCAAATTGCTATTGTTAGTTTTTGTAGGAAGCAAATTGCTATTATTAGTCCCATAGGAACTAGGAAGGGATTCAGTGATTTGGTTGAAACACCACCCATACAAAGTGATGCGTTTTTCAACTTTCATATATTATGTAATATGAAAATATGAAGTTCAAACAAAATGTTCAGTGTTGAACGGTTTTTGTAGGAAGCAAAGTGCCATTATCAGTTCTGTAGGGATTAGAAAGAATTCAGAGTTTCACTAAAAATACTTAACACAACACTAGACTAAATGGATTCTGTTTCCCATTGTGTATGTTACATATAAATCTGAAGTTACTGAATATGTATAGAAACTCAGATGGTGACAACAGCAGAAACAATCTCTTAAGGCCTTCAAACCAAAGAAGTTTATACGCAATCCTGAATCTAACAGTAAGAGCTTAAATACCATGATAAACAAAAATTATTGGCAAACAGAGTAACCTGTAGCAATATATTCAGGGGCAGCATATCCTTGAGTACCCAGGACTTGAGTAGAAACATGAGAATGATCACCAGTAGGGCCAGCTTTTGCCAAGCCAAAGTCTGAAAGTTTTGCATTGAACTCCTGCAACAATGATGCACCGGCTGTTAACTGTCGGCAAACTTGGCTTAATAAAACTGAATAAATTGCCAATACCATTATCCAAAAACTGGCTACAGGAGAAGCAAATAATCATGAATGTTGCCATTAACATACATGAAAATAGGTTATTTAAGACAGGAAAAGCCCCAAGGATAGAACATTCAAGCTTTTTCTGTTTTCCTTTTTTATCTTTTTTAAAAATTTTCAGACGAAGTTTAACTGGTTCCATTTATGGGCCACTAGAATAGAACCTTTTTTGTATTGACTCATCCAGTCCAGCACAATAACACACTGCTATTCATTTTTTAGCCAACATACCGAATCTAGTAGGATATTTGATGCCTTAAAATCTCGGTATATAACTGGTGGTTGAGAGTCATGTAAGAAAGAAAGGCCTCTAGCAGCATCTATAGCAACTCTGATCCTTATTGCCCACGAAAGTGGTCGAGCACCCCCTGAAATTAAGACAGCCTCAAATTTAATGAACAAACAGATATCTTTTGGCATAACAGAAAAAGCAATTATAATATGCAAACAAGTACAGATTGAGGTGGAAAATCACTTGATAACTTATTCATTTTCCATTAAGTGTTAGTAAAGGTATGCAATAAGCATACCCCAAGGAAAAAAGAAAGAAACTTAAAAAAAGAAATAAAGATAGAAGGCAGATAGCTGGGATATGAACTTTACAAGTTCTAGCGAAAAAGGCATTCACTCACTTCTGAAAAGATGATTCTCCAAACTGCCTTTAGATAGATACTCGTAGACCAAAAGCCTACTTTCATCTTCCAAGCAATATCCAATAAGTTTGACCAGATTTGGATGATGAAGCTGACCCAGGTAATTAACTTCACTCTACAATCAACATAATTGATGAATGAGCCAAGAAAATTTTTTCAAAGAAAGAAGAAAGTTAACATGATGAAGGAAGAAAGCTACCAGCCACTCCTTATGACCCTGAAAGCCTTGAGGTTTCAGCTTCTTCACGGCAACAACCATTCCACATCCAGGCCTTGCAGGTACAAGGGTTTGCTCATCCATCCATCCCTTGTAAACATATCCAAACCCACCTTCCCCAATGAGATAATCTGAACGAAAGTTTCTAGTAGCATTTTTTAGCTCAGTAAATGTGAATGCTTTTAGATGGGGGGATGACAATATATCACTTTCAGTTCTAGCAGCTGAGCGATTTCCAGATACACTTTTTTCACTATCAGCTTTAATCAGACTTGAAGAAGCAGAAGGATGATCTCTATTCGGAAGATTTGCAGCTCCTGAAAGAGAAAAATTGTTCTCTGCTATGAGACTACTAAGATTTAGGAGGAATCTACTTGGAGCAAAATGAGTAGCCAGAGAACTCAGAATAAGAAAGCAAATGCATATATGTAAATATAAGAGGCACATCAAAACCAAAGCCAATTAAAAATTGCAAATTGTGTGACATGGCCAAAAAATAACACACAATTATAAGTACAACGTGTATGAAATTGCATTACCTCCACGTTATCATTTAGTGATCTCGTAGAGAGAGTGAATTATAAACATAATAGTTTCTCCTCTATAGACACAATAAATATAAATGTTTCCACAGTAAATAGTGCCACACTTCCAGGAAATAGTAGAAGAAATAACAAAAATAGCAAGAGAGCTGGCCCAAAAAAAAGGTTCCAAGCACACATGTTTTGTGTGTACTAATATTTTAAATGCTCGTTATGAAAGTTAAATTTAGCCATACAATGCGTATATTATTAATTGGAAGGGGGAAACTTGATCAAACAGCATAAATTACAAATTTTAATCATCTTATGAAGCACAGTGCACCTACATCTCAATTTTATGGTAAGCTCAAAACTAGCTGACAATGAAATATCAGTTCATACTTCTTAGGTGTGAGGCCAGCTGTATAGAATGATCCATTGATGAACTAAGTACTAAGAAACAGCCCAGTGATGTATGCACACATACAATTCTAACCATAAACAAGACCTTGATTTTAGCCTCTTATCACAAGGGAAATTATATATGTTACTTATAGTAGTTAAACTTAGCCACAAGATTTGTCCAGTTTTACAGGTAAGAGATCAACTTGAGCAAACAGAGTAAATTAAATTATAATCATCTATCCCACATCTACATCCAGATTTTGGGTAAATCTCTACAAACTAGCCAATGTGAAAAAACAGTACTTGGGTGCAAGGCCAAATGTACAACAAGTTGCATTGATGAACAAGATATCAAAAAACAGCCCAGCAATGATGCAGTAGCTATCACATGACTGAGATCTGTTAATTGACATTCGTCGCAGTAGACAAATTAGCTAAACCAAGGGTCAATACTTATAACTACCTGATTGTGATTAATAATGTTGGGGCCTACACCGACAAGATACACCGTTGTTATATGACTGAGATACAAATGCATCTATTGGAACAAACATTGCTAGATTATCATAATTGAAGTCACTTATAGCATTAACAAGAACACGGTTCAAGGAAATTCCAACACAGAAATAAAAACAACACGGAAACATTTCTAGATTAATAGAGCATGCTACCCCAATTATTACCTTCCAATTGGCAATTTACCAATGCAAGCATTACTATATCTGCTCATATGTCTAAAACAGAACTTCATGCGATTAATAATACCTAATTAATACAAGTATTAGTACCTGTCCACATGTTTGCAAGGCAACTTCATGTGATTAACAATACAGAACAAGCAATCAAGCCTTCTTTTTCAAGGAACACTAAAGGGTGGAGGATTTAGGTCAAAGACTTAACATTTCTACCTGGAATGAAGAAATCCACAAAGGTAAAGAGCACTATGGGATACCAATCATAGATCTTTGGAATCCAAATATTCTCAGAGCCCTCTTATCCATAAACCCAAATGAGGCAGATACATAAATTTTAAAAACAACAGAAAAACCACGGAGAGGGAGTATATAAATGCCCAAAAAATAACAATAATGAATTGGATGTAAATTTTTAATAATTACTAGATAAAGACATTAATTTAGAGCATACACAAGGAACCTGCAAGCTATAATGCCCAAAGAAAGCCATCCATGAAAACCATTTCTTCAAAAGCAATATATGTAAATTTCAAAGCAATGAACCCAGTTCCAAACAAGAGAAACTATGATCTTTGAGACTTCAAGAAACAGAGCAACAACAACCCAATACCATGCCAAAAGCAGAAGCTGTGACTCTTCCCTGGAACCCCGTAAAAGATGCTTGCTTTTAAATCTTTAAAAAGAAAAGAAAAGAAACGAAAGAAAAGATAAGAATCCTACAAGAATGATTAAACAAAGACCAATCATTTCGACACCAAATTTGAAGAATTAGATAAAATAACCACTACTGCACTACACAGTCAATAAATCTAAAAATGAAAAAGAAGAAGAAAATGCAAAACAAAGAACATCAATGTCAATCAGATATCAAACCAAAAATACACGTTGAATCCTCACTTGCAAACCCAATCAGACCCTTTCCAAGAAGCCCCATTTCCCTCGAAACCACCAAAGCTAAAGACCAACTCCTCAATGCAAACCAAAGATGAAAGAAACCTTTGAAGAAAACAAGAAAAAAACGATTGCATGTAACGAGAAGACCCATAAAAACATTACCTGAAGTTGGCTGGAAGCTCAACGAGCTGTCCACTTTCGAACGAGTTTGGAAGCAATTGCCCATGAGACACTCTCTCTCTCTCTCTCTTGCCTTCAAAAGAAAAGCTATGCAAGAGGAAAAAAATGGCAGGCAAAAGGGAAGAGATTAAAGAAAGTTAACATTCTATGTGGGGTTTTTTTCTAAAAACCTTTACAAGAAGGTGATTAGACCATGTTAACGTGACTTGGTGGGGAGGGCTCTGCTTCTTGTTCTTCTTCCTGAATGAAAAAAGAACACGAAGGCAGAGAAAGACGAGGTTTTTTTTATTATTTTTAATATAAGTGAGGAAGAGGGAAAAGGAAATGGGAACAGAATTAATTAACGTTAATTTAATTATATGACTAACTGTGGTGGGACATTTTTATCCCTACTGTGTCTGCATTGTATTGGATATATAGGGGCTGCGGATGGGTAAAGTTGAGAATTCAACCTCCTTCAATTCAATCAACGTCACATTCTGTGTCAGCTCTTTTCGTCACTGCCCCAATCAATACGGCAATTATGAAGCTCTGGACAGCTTGGGCCCACTAAATAAGGCCTTTTTCCTTAATCAGGCCCAACAAAGGCCCACATGACAGACATGCCATTTCCGCTACTAAAACTGAGCTTTGAATGTAAAAAATAATAATAATAATAAAAAGGCATGTAATCTATCATAATTTCCCTTTTTTATTTTCCCTTTTTTTTTTTAGATTAAGGACTTCAACCTTTCTTTATAAAAAAAAAAATGAACGATTAATCCGTAGCTAAATTTAGTTTATTCACATAATTATTTTTAAGATGTAATATTTAATAAATTTAAAATTTAAATCATAATTTTATAATTTCTTTTTTTATTTCTAAACCATAACATTTTTTATACAAAAAAAAAGAATGAATGACAATCATTATATGTTAGGTGATCTACCATCAAAAGTTGTTAATTTTATGTAAAAAGACATTTAAAAAAAAGCAAGACCTACGATCTTAAGATTGTAAGTGATTTTATAATAAATAAATAATATTCAATATGAGACTAATTTAAATAATTTATTCACTTTTTAAAAAGTAAATTCTTGTAAAATTTAAAAGATTCAATTCCTAATTCTTAAAAGTTTCTTTATCCTATCTCTCTACAGTTCACCCTTTCTTCGTATTTAAAAAAAATGAATGACTATTTATCAGTTCCTTCATTAAAGCTATATTTTGAAAATTTTCATTTTAATCATTTAAATATTTGATTCGATAAGAAGTACACTTAATTTTTACTCAAACAACTATAAATAACTCCATCATGCTAAATACGACATTTATTTTAGTTTATATTTGAGTGTTTTTCATTAATTTACTTAGTTTTGATAAGATTATTAATTTTGTTATCTGTGTTTAATTATAATTAATGTATATTTTTTTGAGCTATAATTAAAATATTACTTGTGTTGAGCTCCAATTTCAAGGTCAGATGTTGGAAAAACAAAATAAAAGGATAATTAGATGAAAAGATATGAGGTGTTCCTTGCGTTTGCATTTTGATGCGCAAATCAAAACAAATAAGATCAAAATGAGAGTAATAAAGAGAAATAAGAATAGTCAATACTTATCTTAATGGTGTCTAGATCTTCGTATTTATAAGTAAGTAATGAAGGATTCTTGGGGGACAACAAGGACAATATTGAGTTGATGTGGCACTGGATGTGTCGTGACTAACCTAACATGTTAGGTTGGCACAAATGATAGAATTACCACTAGTTATCTACTGAAGGCTTTTAACATAAAAAAGACCATTATGCCCTTTTGACCATCAAATGCTCCTAACACTTTGTGTTCCTATCAAACAGTCTAAGTATCAAACTACTGAATGTATGATCAATGCACCTAGTATAAAAGCATGTAGGCAAAAAAAATAACATGAAATTTGATTTTTTGAAACCAACATCATAGAGGGGGATTAGTATTAGGGGACAACTAGATTTGAGCTGTGGTCTGACCTTGTGGTTGTCTGATTTTACACATGTGTCTAGGGTTAAGTGCACAACTAGCTTGAAGATTGTCGAGGTGATAATTGTTCGGAATGATCCAAGGTTAGTGTTGGAATTTGTTTGGTCGACGTGAAACTTGTGTTTTATTTCAAGAGTTTGGATTTGACTATTTACTTTGAACCCTAATGATGAACTAAACATTTGATCCACCCCGAAGAGTTGTCTGGCCTAACAAATTTGACGGCATTAAATGAGAAGAGAGGTAGTATGAGCGAGAAAATTTTAAAAAAGAGAATGTAAAGACATCTTTTATTCTTTAATTTGACAAATGGCATGGTTTATGCTACTCATCTGATTTGTGGCGTAGCTATATTAAAGGCTATTAGGGCTTTCATTTTCTACCTTTATATTTTCTTCACTCTTAATCCGATCTAAATTTTTTGATATTAAAAGTTTTACAGCCTTAAAGTCTTTCCCTACTTTTTTCAGTACATATTCTTAACCATGTCTTCTAGTATAAGGTCTAGGAAATCGGGTGTTTCAAGGTAGAACTTAGGGGAGGTTAGCTCGAGTAGGAAGATGACAATCTGATTCCACCATCATCGAGAACCATAATTGTAAAATGATTGCCTTTTAGTTTAACCCAATGTTCGAGGAAGGGCAACGACAAAACGAAAAAAATGCTTAGGCAAGAACATAACCGGGTACTGAATATAGAAGAACATGTGCTCAGATAGACTTTGACTTATAAAATCCATCATATTTCTATGTCTCTAGGTTGGTCCATCTTCTATGACTGACTTTCTTTCATATTTGGTTATTCCTCCTTATAGGGATCAATCACATCATTTTCTTCTATTTATGCTCTTCCACCTATTGATGCTCTTGTTGTCACTTCTATTCCCCTTGGTCAGTTCTTGTTAAGATCACTTCATTTTCAAAAGGTTCTCCATCTAGTCTTTTTCCTCTAGAGTTAAGTTACTCTCAACTATGGTTCAACCTTGGAATTTTGTTTCTACTCAGGAGTCAAAATCTTTTAGTGATAAAGATTTTGACAATGAGAAAGGTTTTAAAAAAGAATAGAAGAAAATGAGTACCTCAACTAAAGAAAGTGACAACAAGGAAGAGAATCTTATAAAGCATAATGAACTAACTGAGATCCTTTTATATATTTCCTGTGACCTTGGTATGATCCTCAAAGACATGATGAGTGAATTGAAAGGAACAATCATCTAGTCTTTTTTCCTCTAAAGTTAAGTTACTCTCAGCTATGGTTCAACCTTCGAATTCTGTTTCTACTCAGAAGTCAAAGTCTTTTAGCGGTAAAGATTTTAACAATGAGAAAGGTTTTAGGAAAGAATAGAAGAAATGGAGTACCTTAGCTAAAAAAAGTGACAATAAGGAAAAGAATCTTATAGAGCATAATGAACTAACCGAGATCCTTCTATATATTTCTTGTGACCTTGGTATGATCTTCAAAGACGTGATGAGTGAATTGAAAGGAACAATCATCTAGTCTTTTTTCCTCTAAAGTTAAGTTACTCCCAGCTATGGTTTAACCTTGGAATTCTATTTCTACTCAGGAGTCAAAGTCTTTTAGCGATAAAGATTTAACAATGAGAAGGATTTTAATAAAGAATTAAAAAAAGAGAGTACCTGAGCTAAAGAAAGTGACAACAAGAAAAAGAATTTTATAGAGCATAATGAACTAACCGAGATCTTTTTATATATTTCCTGTGACCTTGGTATGATCCTCAAAGACATGATGAGTTAATTGAAAAGAACAATAAATCCTGAAGATTGTCCTAACATGTGTTCAAATCATCACGTTAGCATTCTGGAGACAACCTTTCTTTTTCCTAGATAGAGGTACAGTATAATAATGCCAAACTCTTTAGACCAAGTCACTGATAAACTGGAGCCACATTGGCTTTATGTATATTGAGTTTCCTTCATGGTTGAATTGAGGTTTTCACTTCACTATTTGTACGTTTCAATTTTTAATTCTTACAATTGGATTATTACCTAGCTCACTTCCAACTTTATTTGGTATATAGTTGCTTTCATCATTCTTTATCAACATCTAAACATTTGTCCTTCCCTTCTTCTATTTAAGAAATTTTTTCTATTAAAATGCACCCTAATGATAAAATGTGGTATTATGTAACAGTCAACCTAATAAAAAATTATTCACCAATTATCCAAGCTTAATAAAAAATTGAAAGATGCTCTTCCTTAATCTTCTGAAACAAAAAAATAAATAAAGATAACCAACCTGAGGTCGATGTCACTATTAAGGTTGAGGCCTAATAAATAAAAAAAATGTGCGCAACATTTTATGGATGCACCGATGGCTTGTTTTGTCCTAGATATATCAAATTGAAACAAAATAATGGAGTACACTTGTAAGGAAAGCTCGTTATTGATGCCCATAGGCTGACCTACCCCGAAGTAATAAATGAGATAAACTATTGGGATAGATTTGGAAGTAACTTGTTAGGATTTTATTTTAACTTGACCTAATTTTCATTTAACTATTATCTCAATTTTCCAAAATTGTCTATCGATGACGATTTTGATTTTGTTTTGTATCAGTATGCCCCCGGGCCCAAAAAAGGGCCAAAAATATTCAGCTTAAGGCCCTATTTTGTAAAGGGAGACAAAGTTGTCAACCCTTTAGTATAACACTCTCTAGAGCCTAAAAGACGAAGGCCAGGGCCAGTCGAGACCTCTCTTCAGCACAGGCTCCCTGTCTTACTGAGAGACTAAGAGTGGAAGACTTTTTTTTCACTTTAAAGAACCTCGAAACTAGGGTACTAAAACCATGCTCAAAAAATGTTTTATAAGGTTAGAGTATGCTCCTACCGATAACCCCACCAAGAACCTAGATTTGGCAATGAGGTTTTGCAAGGTGGTGATCTTTCCTCTTAATAAGTAGTGCATAACTTTAGCTTGATTTTATCATTGTTTTTCATTTTGCTAAGTCTGAGTTTGTTTTATGTAGTCTAATAGAAACTTTTTGCTAAGCCCCTAGACAACACTAGTCAAGCCTTTCACCATGCGTATATCGCTATGGTACATTTTTTTAAGGGTGAAAAAGACATGAAT